TGTAGGGACATGAACCTGTTAAAGTACCTGCTTTAATATAGAAGAGACAATAAAGAGAAGTTGAATTTTGCAAGCCTTTTGGAACTAAATTAGGGAAGAAGACTATGGTATTTAAAATTGGCCTCCAAAGAAGCTAAATTATTTAAGCTCTTAAATGCATAAAGAAAAGCTGACGTTATATAAAATATCTTTTTAAAAATCTTCAGTATATAATAACACAATTTTCAACTCCCTAGAAACTATAATAGAGATGCTTCACTAGATTGGAATTAATAGAAAGTCTTGGTAAATGCATTAATAACTGAAACCTTGTCATCAATACTCTTAACTTTAAGCTATGTATCAAGTAAAACTTTTAAGTTTGAAACAGATGACAAGATTCTTTTAGTCATGGTCAAGTTGAATCTGAAACTGTCTTAATTTCGGTAGAAAGAGATTTCTTTCCCCCTTCTAGCAGCTTGATTTGAAAGTTGCCCCCCTTGAAAAGCCTTGTATAAATTATAAGGAAATAACCCTTTGAAGCAGGGAGGGAGGAGAGATGGTGGGCAACCTAGTGAGTAGATAAAGTGGGGGATGTGTGGAAGAGGTTGGTCGCTGAAGGAAAATGTCAACATCTGTCTGTCACTGTGCAGCTCTTGGCCAATTATAATTTTTTCTGCTTCTGTAAACCCCAATCACACAATGCCACTAAGTCCTATCCTTTGTTACCCAGAACATTTCCCACCACTGTTTCACCTCTGATATGCTAATAGAGAAACTGTGGGTTTTGTGTTGCTGAAAGGGATCTTTGGGCATATTCACTGGGTCAACAATCCCAACTTCTGCACAGGGACTCAGCCTGCTGTGTGAGAAGTCCTACTTCCATGAGGTCTCCCCCATCTCCTTTTTCTGTCCTCTGTGTATGTGTGTGTCTGTGTGTTTTAGAAAGAGGAATTAACCATCTGGCTGCTTGTCCTCCAGACAAATGTGCTGAACCAATTATTACATAACAGTAAAAAGAACAGGCACCTTTAGTACTCTCGAGTTGCAACAGATTGGTTACTTTGGGGAGAAGTCACTCAACCCAATTTTGCCAGTCAGAAAGATGACCGACAGCACTAGCACGCAAGCAAGCTCTGTTGAAATAAATTTGTGCAAGAAGCCTTGAATCTATGGCACTTAGTGCTAGATGTAAATCTATCCAGTGTGACTACCAAGGTTTAAAAATATCTTGGGTAGGCGTCCAGAATCATAAGGCAGCATAATTACAAAACATTAACTTGCAGAATTACTTTCTCCTCACATCAATGGATGAAAAGGAAACATATTAGGATGCTCCCCTGCCCCAAATTGTGTCTCCTTTAAGATTTTCATCATTATCGGGGCTGTCTACCAAAAAAATTAAAGTTTACATTTTAGGACTTCAAAAGAATTTCTTTTTTTCATTCAAATAATTTAAAATTCTTAAAGCTTCTGCCTGGTTTTCATTCTCAAAGCAGAAGGGCCCCATTGTCTTCTGGCAGCTTGATTTGATCCACTCTGTAGGTTTTTGTAAAAGCTTGAACAGTATTTTAGTGCATTTTTTAACTTTCCCCTTTTTTATCATGCAACCGATGATCATCAACAAATAAGAACATCTCAATTTACAAAAAAGAACAGAAAAGAGAATTATGTATGAAATTAAATTTCTATCATATAGTTTGGTTTTTAAGCATATATTAAATTCAACATTGTAATAACAAAATTACCTTTCTTCTCTGTCATCTTCTGAACTTCCTTTTGGTCTTCTGTGCATTTTTTTAGACATCTAATTGATGTTCTTTTCCTTTCCCCTGCCCCAACATTATTATCATTACCTACCACATCCACCCTATCACAACTACCATAAACCCTTCCCTGGAAACAAGTAAATTTAGCTTCCATATTGCTTTGGAAGTGTTAATTTAGAAGTTTTAACTAGAGTTGGACAGTGAACGTTTCAATTTTTCATTGCCTAGACAAACCATCACTAGGGTAGGATGATAAAGGCTTTGTCTCAGGGTACCAAAATTTACCAGGTACTAAGACTATATTTTCTTTAGTAGCATAGAAATAACTGTATTTAACATCTAGTTAACAAGAATCATTAGTTAAATAGAAATTTACCAGATGCTTCCTCCCTTCTCCTAGTGTTCTTAAATGAGGCTTCTGAGTCTGGTCCCATCTTTTTCCTCTCACCTTCCACTCACCTCTTCACAGTATCACAGGGTCTCCACTGACAAGAACCTACCTTCCAGAGACTCTCCCCCAATTAGGCCTTGTGTCCAAAGATCTCTGCTCAACCCCAAATGAATTTGTCTTTAAAAATTTATTTGTGGGAACATTTCATGGTGCTTACCTTAAAAATGGAGCTGGCTGAGTGCCATCATAATTGCTAGGTAAGGCTCTATTGCCTAATACAAGCACACTGTTTACAATATTTTTCCAGTGTAATTAAATTATAGTATGACATCTTCAAAATTACAAATCAAGGTTTGATTTATTGTTTTGTTGATTTCTAGACTTAAGAGCATGGTGGAAAACTGTTGATAATACAGATTAAACTTAAAAGCGTATCCTAAATATTTTGGAGAGCCAGTTGTTAAACATTCATCTGCCCATCACTACATATGTCACTCATTACATCAAAGTTAAAGCTTGTAGGGATAGTAGAAATCCTCTTTTCCAGCTGATAAGGAGTTTGAATATCACTAGCTTCCTATTTCCCAAGCTGAAGGCATAAAGGGCTGGATCAGAAACCCCATAGCCAAGGGTAGGACCTCTGCCTTCTCCTCCTACACCAGGGCCATGACTAGGGGCCTTCTCCAACTACTTGTCCCTTTAGCTCTTTCCTCTTGGAACACGTGACATATAAGGGAAATTGTTGCCTCTTCTTATACTGTACCTTGGAACCCCAAACCTCACTCAAACTATACCAGACAGAGGGGAAGTCTGTGAGATAGGGAAAGGCTAATAAAAATAATAATGATAACAACCAACTTTACATGATGCTTTAAAGTTTGCAGAGCACTTTACAAATATTATCTTCTTTTAGCCTCACAACAACTTTTCTACATGAGGTGGGATTTAAGCTGAGTGTTTTTAAAAAAATTTATTTTATTTTTAATTTATGGAATAAAAAGCATTTTTATAACATAATATAATATTTTTAAAAGATGATTACACATGAGACTGAAAATCTATTATGCACAACTTGCTATTCCTTTTAAGTATATAATAAAGTTATCATGTAAATTTCCTTTTTCTTTTTTCTTCCCTCCTCCCTCAGCCTAGAGATGACTACCATTAAACACACTCACATACACACACACACACACACACACACACACACACACGCATATAATTCTATACATACTTCTATTTATCAGTTCTTTCTCTTGATAGAGATAGCATCTTCATATGTCCTTTGTAGTTAATTTGGTTTTATTGGTTAGAGAAATGCAAAATAAAACAGCCTTGAGATATCATTTTATACCTATCAGATTGGCTAAAATGATTGAAGGGGAAAGTGACAAATGTTGGAAGGGATGTGGAAAAATTGAAGCACTAATTCATTGTTGGTAGAATTGTGAACTGATCCAACCATTTTGGAGAGCAATCTGGAATAACGCCCAAAGAGTTATTAAACTGCCTGCTCTATACCCTTTGACCCAGCCATACCAGTAGTAGGTCCATTCCCAAAGATGATTAAAGAAAAAGGAAAAGAAGTTTTATGTTCTAAAATATTTATAGCAACTCCCTTTGTTGTGGCAAAGAACTGGAAATTGCGGGGGTGCCCATCATTTGGGGAATGGTTTAACAAGTGGTGGTATATGATTGTGATGGAATAGTACTGTGCTGTAAACTAAGTCTTAAAGGAAGCTAGAAATTCTAGTAGGGGTAAATAGGGAGAATATTTCAGGGATGGGTGACATCCAGTGCAAAGCCACAGTGAAGAAGGATGGGGCATCTACGGTGTGGAACAAGTAGGCTGGTATAACTAGGTCATAGAGTATGGGGAAGAGGGGAAGAAGAAAAGTATGGAGTGAGAAGACTGAAAATGAATTTAGAGGTCAACTGGGGAAGAGTTTTAAATGCCAAACAGAGCAGTTTATATTTAATTCTAGAGGTAATAGGAGCCATTGGAGTTTATTGAATATGGGAAGTTAAACTCTGCATTTTGAAATTTCAGGAGAAAGGCATTATAGAAATATAACTAAAAAAACAAATCAATGCAAAGTCATGGTGTTGATTCTTTGTGCTGCTTATAAAGAGACCATAGGAATCTGGGGGGTTTTTGTGATTCTTACAAAGGTTATATTCAAGTAATAATGTCATTTGAAGATTTAACTCAGCTTATGATAATTTTTACACCACCTCTCCCTCCCTCCCAGTTTTCTATTGATTTCATTTCTTCAACAAATATTTATTGAACTTCTGATACATGCAAAGCATTGTGCTAGGCACTGTGGGAGATACAAAAGAGACATGACCCCTGCCCTCAAGGATCCTTATTCTTGTGATTCAGATGTAAAGACCACTTTAATAATTATTTATATTTGCATAGCATTTTCAAGTTTACAAAGTACTTCTCTTACAATTACTGTATGAGGTGAACAGTGTAAATATTATCTCCATCGTACAGATGAACAAATAGAGTGAGGCTCAGAGAGGTTAAATAATTTGCCCATGGTCATGTGGCAAGTAAGTGGTAGATATGGAATCCAAATCCAGGTCTCCTGAGACCAGTGCCCTTCCCCTGATAGTGTGGTGCTTCTTAATATCTGTAAGTTCTTACTGATGAATAAAACATTCTATTGCTAGAATAGCACAATAGATCCTTTCTACAAGCCATCTTCTGTATGTTCTTTGTCTTGTGACATTTATTTTTAACCAACATGAGAGATGAAGAATGTGTTTATGTATAGTAGATTTTCCTCCTATCACTCCCATTCCCTCTGTAATAATAAACCCAAAGGCTAGAAACTTAAAATGAACTTTACCTCCACTCTGGCAGAATCCGTTAGTCCTCAGCTGTCTGCAACCTGGATAATGAATGGCAGATGTTCTTACCCTAAAACAGATGTCATCATTTTCCTTAGGAGATAACTTGTGGGATTTTGCTATTACAAATGCAAAAGATCATATCTTATTTAAGATGGGTAATTTGGGGAAAGCATCTAGAATATTTTGTTTCCTTCTATTTAAAAAATATATATCTATTTAGAATATTAGAATTTTAACTTTGTCATGCATTTTTTTATACTCTGGCAATGCATTCTGAAAATAACATTTAATTACAATTCTAAGTTTCTTTGCATAATACAACTTATCAATAAATATTAGAAATATAAATATTTGTCACATGAATGAATTAATGCAATTTGAAAAAAGTTCTTTCTGTCACACATTTTGGGACATCTAAATTCTGCACTTAAGTTCTACTCTGCATCACTCTCATTTCTCTTCCCAGTTTTTCCTCTACTTCTCTTACTTGTTTCTCAAAATCCTTTCTGAGCTCTTCCATGACCTGGGACCAATTCATATTTTTCTTGGAGGCTTTGGACTTTGTTGTCTTCTTCTGGTTGTATGTTTTGATCTTCTTTGTTACCAAAGAAAGATTCTATGGTCTGACTTTTTTTGTATAGTTTGCTCATGATCCCAGCTAATTACTTGAGTTATAAACTCTTTGTTAAGGTAGGGGTCTGCTTCCAGTGTGGAGAATGTACTGTCCCAAGCTTCCAGGGTTTTGTGCAGCTGTTTTCAGAGATACTTCTAGGGACCTGTAAATTTTCAGTTCTTCCAAGGTGGTATGATCAAGGGCGAGGGGTTTACACCTTTCCTGGCCTGGGCTCTAGTCTATGAGTGACCACAAACACTCTTTTCTGCCTTGGAACTGTGAGGAGGATTCCCATTGCACCACCACTACAAGCTCCACCACTCCAGCACTCCTCCTTGCCCAGGACCACAACCCAGAACTGTGACCCAGATCCAAGCACAGGCAAAGCAAGAAAATCCTGCCTCAGCACCGGCAAAGAGATCCCTGCAATCCCACTCTGATCAGCCACTCGATTCCCCTTCCATCTCTGGGCCAAGAGCTCCAGAAGCAGCCATCATCGTGGGAGTGTGCTGGGACTGGAGGTGACCAAGCTCCTCCCTCATCGCAGTCATAGACTTTTCCCACTGACCTTCTAAGCTCTTTTTGGTGTTCATGGTTTGAGAAGTCTGAAAACCACCACAGTCTTCTGAGGCCTGCTCCAGCTTCACTGAGGCCTGTTTTGCCTGTGTGCCCATGCTGAACTGCATTCCTCTCCCCACCCGACCTTTCCAATCAACCATCCAGATTGTCTTGGGCTGGAAATTTGCTTCACTCTGTCTTTTTGTGGGTTCTGTTGCTTTAGAATTTGTTTACAGTCATTTTTTACAGCTATTTGGAAGGGTTTGAGGGAGAGCTCAAGCAAGTCACTGCTTTTGCTCTGCCATCTTGGCTCTGCCCCTTAAGTTCTACTCTGTTGCTATAAAGAAGATCCTTGGTTCTCAAAGCCTATGCCTGTGGAACCTAGGCTTAAACGATTTTAAAATATTGGCCCAGGATAGATCTGATAATGTTATCTGTGAGACCAGGAAAAAGTCACTTATCCATTTCAGTTTCTTCACCTGTAAAATGGGAAGATTGGACAAGATGGTTTCTGAGGTCCCTTCCAACTCTAATTCTATGATACTATGCTATGATTGAATGTGTGTAGGTCCAGTCTACACTTATACAGACTGTCCTCCATGCCTGGGATGCATTCCATCCTCACTTCTACCACTTAGAATTCCTAGCATCCTTAAAGGCTCAGCTAAAATATTACCTTAAACCCTTCACGAATCTTCTAAGTTGCTAAGAACTCTATTTTCTCTAATACTGCTTTGTGTGTACTTTGTGGACAATTAAGTGGATAAAGCACCAGGTCTGGAGTCAGGAAGACCTGGGCTCAAATCAAGTTTCAGACACTTGTTAGCTGTGTGACCCTGGGAAAGTCAATTAACCCAGTTTGCCTCAATTTCCTCATCTGTAAAATGAGCTGGAGAAGGAAATGGCAAACCACTCCTGTATCTTTGGCAAGAAAACCCCAAATGGGATCATGGAGAGTTGGACACAATTGAAACAACTGAACAACAAAATCTATTCTGAATATATTTTGTTTTCACTTATTTGTGTATGTGTCAATCCCCAAGTATAATGTAGGCTTCTTGAAGTCAAGAACTGGTTTCGGTTTTGTCTTTGTGTCACCTCACATAGTGTCTGACATGTAGCAGATTCTCAATAAATGCTTATTGAATTAATGTCTTTTGTTCAAGGACCAACCTTGCTCTTTTTAGAACTGTTCACTTTCAGAATTTGGGCCACCAAGTAATAAAGTTTTTATACAGAACATAGATTAAGAAGGTTGTGATTTACTCCAGGGGACGGAATAATCCTATGGATAAGGTTACAAGTAAGTGATGTCATATTGTTGATTGGAAGTCCTATACTGAGCTGTTCTGCATTTTTAGAAAAAGACTCCAAGTGGTCCAAGTCCTGATTCTGATCTGTTTAGATTACTTCAGTTTATCCTGTAAATGGGATGGGACATGGGAAGGATATCATTCTTCAGAGGATAAACATTTTCACAGGTTAGAGAGAGCCACCCAAACCCATTTGCTACAGATTCTTTAATCAAGTATAGATACCAAAAGGGATTCTCAATCAATTCTTCTTACACTTGTTTCATATGTGTTTAACAGCTTGGAATTAATCAGAGGCCTTTGTCCCCATCCCTGACCAGCAATGTACAGCTCTACATTGGAAGCCTTTGATCCACATTTCTCTAGGTAACTTTGAAACCTTAGCTGTACAATTTTGCTAATACGTTTTAACAAGGGTTTGCTTAACTACAAATTTGTTAAGAGGGGCATGCTTTGTCTAGGGTTCTTTAAACCCAAAGCCTCCTATTTCTTTCTCATGCTGCTTGGCAGGAATTTATTAGGCTCTGTACTACAGTTTAGGTTCCCCTTATTAAATTGCTACTGAGACACTGAAATTTCCTCCTCCATAGAAGCACAAGGGGAGATTGACAAGAGAGCATTTAGTAATGCATAGCAGCCTTGTTAACAAGAGCATTTTGGCTATAGCTTCCAGTGATACTTTCTTATATGTTCTTTTGTCCTGAATGTGGCAGAGCTCCTGGCCCAACACCAAAAGAGCAGGAATATATAAACTACAAATGGTTCCAAGATTAAGCAATGTTGATCTTCTACTCTTACTCATTAATCAAAGAATGTCCCACTTTAATTTTGATGATGTGGAGAGAGAGTATGTAGAAATTCAAACTAGATTATGCAGTGATTCAATCAACTCTTTTATACCAATAAAACAAGGTGATTCTGTACTGTTAACTTTAAGAAAATAGGATAAGCTGTCATTGCCAGAAAGACTACACTACTCTTTGTTATCTATGCCAAGTACTTTAAAAGGGACTGTTTTCTTGACCAATAGAATGCTATGATACATGGAAAGTTACTAAATTATTTCTTCCCATCACACAAATACCCACAAATACATGAAGGGGATAAGACCTCATGGAGGCAGATCAGTGATTTTGTTGCTGGCAAGAACGCAAGAGAAAATGTGGCCAATTTTTCCCTGCCCCTCCAGTCTCGGTAACTGAAGTTGCTTGGGTAGTGATTTGCTTAGTCCATAAATGACACAGAAAGGAATTTTCTATCAAAAAAAGGACTGAATTCACTGATGGAATCCAAAGGGTTTTGATTTTGAAGACACAAGTAAAATGCTTGAAGTTCTGTGGCTAGCTACCCGGGAGGTCGCTGGCTAGGATACGCATTATTAAAGAGCTAAAGATAGAGACTTTCCTGCAATATAACTAATAAGCTGATAGAGTCCTCCCCTACAGCAAGAAACAGCATCATAGCTGAAATAGTGGCAGAAAAGAATAGTACCAGCTTAATATAAATGTCTGGCAGAAAGGAGAAGACTCCCAGCAAAGAGCAGCATGATGACATTGTCAGAAGATATCAATGACTCAGTAACACTAGGGGTATGGGCCACACATGTTCCCTGACCACATGAAGTCATCACACATATGCTTTACAATGGGTGTTCCCTGGCCAGGACAATTCCCTCTATGCATGGCAGGAGGGAGAAGAGGAGGGTAGAATAGGAGGGGAAGGCAGGAAGCATACTCTTGGGTGACTTCTATCCTCTTAGAAGTAAAGGAACAGAACTTAAAGTTATTAAGAGGGCAAATGAGACACAGACAAACTCCTTTTCTTCTTTCTTACATTACGCATCACTTGTGGAGTTAAATGGGTTGTGTGATCAAAAGTATGGCATGTCTTGATACAAGAATAGCCCCTTAGATCCTCTCAAATTATGTTTCCAGAAAACTATCCCAAGTTTGAGGTACTTTGTGGGTCATCATTCACTTAAAATCATAGTTCTTGAGTCCTTTCAGACATATTTCCTTAAACTAGACCAATCAAGAGACACATAAGTTCAAAAAAAAGGACATTAAATTAAACAGTAGAGCAAAATAGGTGACAAAAAGTCTCTTCTGCCATGCATATTGTGTATAATCTAACATAAGTTACCATACCACTAGTAGAGAAAGGAGAGGAAATAGATAGAGAACTAGGCAATCCAAGTAGGGGAAATACATAGGAAATGTGCACAGAGGGAATATACATGAAGGAACACACATAGGAGGGCTCATGTGGGGAGCATATGTGATGAAGGGACATGTATAGAGCAGTGTACATGAAGAGAACATAGTCCAGTTGTCTGGCTATAGAGGCAACTGTATTCTTATTCAGGAATTCTTATTCAGAAATAATTCCAACATTAGAAATGAGTGACTTCCTCTCTGAGTTAAGTACAACCCATGAAATAGATTTACAAAGATCAGAGACAGGGGTCCCTCCTTTCATAGTGCTTGCTGTCTAAAAGGAGGGATAAAATATTAACTACAGTACAAGGCAGAATGTAAGAAGTGAAAAGGAGTGATCCAAATAAGGAGTCATCTAGATGACTAT